CACTACACACTAATATACACTATACACTACACACTAATATACGCTATACACTGTTATACACTATAGACTACACACTAATATACACTACACACTAATATACACTATACACTACACACTAATATACACTACACACTAATAAACACTAGACACTAATATACACTATACACTACACACTAAATATACGCTAACACTACACACTAATATACACTATACACTAATATACATTATACACTACACACTAATATACACTATACACTAAATACACTACACCTAATATACACTATACACACTAATATACATACACACTAATATACACTATATACACACTAATATACACACACACTAATATACATATACACTACACATATATACACTATACACTGCACACTAACTATACACTATACACTAATATACACTACACACTAATAACACATACACTCATATACACTACCACTAATATACACTATACACTACACACCAATAACACTATACACTACACTAATATACACTACACACTAATAGACACTATACCACTACACACTAATAACACTATACACTACACACTAATATACACTACACACTACACACCAATATACATTATACGCTACACACTAATATACACTACACCCTAATATACACTATACACTACACACTAATATACACTACATACTAATGTACACTATACACTAATATACACTACACACTAATATACACTATACACTACACACAAATATACACTACACACTAATATACACTATACACTACACACTAATATACACTATACAGTACACACTACACACTAATATACACTATACACTACACACTAATATACACTTCACACTAATATACACTATACACATTAATATACTCTACACACTAATATACACTATACACTACACACTAACATACACAATACACTACACACTAATATACACTATACACTACACACTAATATACACTATACACTACACACTAATTTACACTATACAGTACACACTAATATACACTACACACTACACACTAATATACACTATATACTACACACTTATATACACTACACACTAATATACACTATACACTACACACTAATATACACTACACACTAATATACACTACACACTAATGTACACTATACACTAATATACACTACACACTAATAAACACTAGACACTACACGCCAATATACACTATACACTACACACTAATATACACTATACACTACACACTAATATACACTATACACTAATATACATTATACACTACACACTAATATACACTATACACTAATATACACTACACACTAATATACACTATACACACTAATATACACTACACACTAATATATACTACACACTAATATACACTACACACTAATATACACATATACACACACTAATATACACTATACACTGCACACTATATACACTATACACTAATATACTACACACTAATATACACTATACACTCATATACACTACACACTAATATACACTATACATACACACAATATCACTATACACTACACACTAATATACACTACACACTAATATACACTATACACTACACAAACATACACTACACACTAATATACATTATACGCTACACACTAATATTACACACACCCTAATATACACTATACACTACACACTAATATACACTACACACTAATGTACACTATACACTAATATACACTACACACTAATATACACTATATACTACACACTAATATACACTATACACTAATATACACTATCACAATATACACAATACACTACACACTAATATACTATACACTACACAAAATATCACTATACACATAATATACACTATACACTACACACTAATATACACTATACAGTACACACTACACAATATACACTATACACTACAACTAATATACACTTCACACTAATATACACTATACACATTAATATACTCTACACACTAATATACACTACACACTAATATCCCTATACACCACACACTAATATACACTACACACTAATATACACTATACACTACACACTAATACCACTATACACTACACACTAATTTACACTACACACTAATATACACTAACACTACACACTAATATATACTACACACTAATATACACTATACACTACACTAATGTACACATACACTAATATACACTACACACTAATAAACACTATACACTACACGCCAATATACACTATACACTACACACTAATATACACTACACACTACACACTAATATACACTATACACTAATATACATACACACTAATATACACTATACACACTAAGATACACTACACAATAATACACTATATATACACACTAATATACACTATACACTACACATAATATACAACTATACCTAAATACACTACACTAATATACACTATACAACTATAACACTAACACTAATATACACTATACACTACACACTAATATACACTATACACTACACACTAATATACACTACACACTAATAACATTACACGCTACACATAATATACACTACACCCTAATATACACTATACATACACAATAATATACACTACACACTAATGTACACTTCCACTATTATACACTACACTAATATACACTATACACTACACACTAATATACAATATACACTATACACTAATATACACTACACACTAATATACACAATACACTACACCCTAATATACAAATATACACTACACACTAATATACTATACACTATACAATA